TTATTTTGTTTTATTTTATTTTATTTTATTTTATTTTATTTTATTTTCGTATGGACTCATTTGAGTTTAAGCGGCTTGGGAAAACTCTCTTTGTATGGATACACAAATTCGCATACCTAAAACTATACCTTTGGACTTTATATGTAAAGTAAATTGCCCACTTGCCGCTGTAAATGAAATGCCCGCAATTGCATATGTAAAAGCCAATTACAGCAACACTAACCACACACAGCTGTTGAGGGTCACCTGCATTCAGCAACAACCAGCATAATTGTATGTTGCTGTAACATTTCAGTTAAATTTATTAATGAATATGCAAAGAGCAAGTAGCGGTGAGGACTTTGCAAAATGCAAAATGCAAAAAGAGGCGAAAACACAAAATGCAACCAAAGTAAAATGCATGTTCACGCTTTTAAGTGTCATTTTGAAAGGGAGGTAGCAGTAGGAGTTGCCTAGGTGCATATCACAGGGGGCATGCGGCCTTATACAGTATCTGTATGTATGTATGTATGTACACTTGTATGTAAAGTGGAGTTCTGCAGGCGCACCACTGCTGCTACATTCACAAATGTAAGGCAGTGCAGCAACACCACATCCGGTTGATTATGGGGAATAATACAATGATATGAAATTAAAATGCAGAAAGTAAAAAAGAAAAATTTGCAAAACTGCATACAACAAAAAATGACGCAATGAACATGCGCATAAAGCGTCATTTTGCAATCATACATACATAAAATGTTGTCGATTGACCGGCCAGCTGTTTAATGTATTAAAGTGGAAAGAAATGGGGGTGCCGTTTTTGTTTGTTGTCTGATAATAAAAAGTGCGTTGCAATTCTTTATGCTGTCAGGCAAAAACTGATAATTGTGTGCAATAAAAGTCGAAAAAAAAAAAAAAAATATGACAGTAATGGAATAATGGAAAATGCGTCGCTTAAGACTTTCGTATAACGAAATCTGAATAAAGCGACATTAAAAGGTTTATGGAAATCTGCATTAAAAGTGATTGAATACTTGCCTTATTGCACTTTCCCTGCTTTTACTTTCAGTTCCATATTTTAAGATCAACTAAATTAAAAAAAGGAGTTGAAAAGTCTACACAATGTAAACAGCGAAATAAAAGATATGAAATCCTAGCAATGAGCCAACTAAGTAGCCGCGATTCACTGGCCTTTTCCGCGCACTCGCATTAAAAGTCTAATTTTTGCTATTATTT